AGACTTTATATGTCCTGTAAGATGTGACATTTAAAACTTAATAAAAAAAAAAAAGAGAGAGTAGAAATTGAATTGAATAGGGGCAATGTGGAAGAGGGGGAGAGTGAAAGAGGCACAGGTAAGGGTGGAGCTGGAGCAGTCGTAGTGCAACGTGGAGGCATCTCCATCCTTGTGGTTTTCTACGTGGAGTTTCCTTGGCAATTGGCATTTCCATATTCATCTTTTTTTTACAGCCCCTTTCTCTTCGGGTCCCACTATTGTCTCCAAATTCAATTCATTAATACTGCGTAAAATGTACGTAGACATGTAGTAGCTCGAGGTCGATCCTACCTTCCTTTTATATATATATAATACTATATATTAGAAAAAAAAAGGGAAACAAGAAATTTGATCCTGGTATTAGGTAAATAAATATCTGATTTGAAAACCATGGGATGGGAAGGATGGTAGATTTATGATGGAAGAATTTTCCGTGGTGGCACTGACACCCAAATGTAGTGGCCGCTCACTTTAGTTGTCAGCATATGATTGGCAGCCATATTTTAAAACAAGATTTGTAATTTACCTAAAATATTTGAATTTTCTGCTGATTACAGTATGGCCTTGACGTTTATACTCTATATATTAAATATAATATCAGTTAACTAATATATATCTTATATGGATCACTGATATACTTGATATGAAATTATCAATGTATATCTACTGATTTATATTGTACAAAATAAATCATTTATAACTAGATGTAATACATCAATATATATTATATATCAGTTATAACTAATATATTTTGATGTACTTCATACTACAAATGACATATTTGAAGATGGTGACGATGTAAAAACATTTCAGACTTTTAGCCCAATTCAAGTTGAAGAAACTGATTCGATGCATTGGTTCCAAAAACATTCCATATGGTTACTACCAACCGCTTTTGGTTCCAAATTTTTGGGTTGCCTTTTCTAATAAATTATGGAGTAGTTGGTCTGGCTCTGAATCTACGTGCCTATGACTATGTTTATTAGGGGATTCATGCAACTGAAGGTCTGAAATTTGTGACTTTCTATACCAAAAATATTATCTTAAATAAAGGTATTCATGCTTGAATGACAACTCAAGATCAACCTAACGAAAACTTTATATTCCCTGAAGAGGTTCTACCGTGTACAAACACCTTTTAATGGAACTTTAGCTTTAGCTGGTTATGACAAAGAAACCACATGTTTCGCTTCATGGACTACGAATGCTCGAATTATCAATTTATCTAATAAATTAATTACTGAGGGCTCATGTAGTCCATGTCAACTGATATACCTACTATGAGGTACATAAAAGTATATTAGTTATAAATGATATAATTTAAACGAAGTATATCAGTCACTGATATACTTGATATACGTAAATGAAGTAAATCAAGATACGTTAAATTGATAATTTTACCATGATTTCGTTGTTTTTAGAATCCATGTTAAAAGCTGTTATGATCATATCTCTTTCATCAATTGATTCATGGTATTTGAAATATATGTTCCTAATGCGAGGAATTATTATCTTTTTCTGGACAAATCTCAGACAAGATTCTTTTAGGCAAAAACCCTTGCTATATTTGGATGAATAATGTTAAGGTAAGTGTATCAAGGACATCTTAATTCTAAATGATAGAAAATCTCAAAAGGGTCCTTTGTTGAACAGTTTTATCTTACTCGAGGAAAGAGTTGTTATAATGTTATCTAAATTTTCTAATTTTAAGTAAAAAAACGACATTTTCAACTCAAAAGTCCAAATGAAATTTTCTGGTTGAAGTAAACATAACATAAAGTATATCATTATTATAGTAGTATTTGCTGGAGAAATATGCATAAAAAACTTAAGGAAATACAAAATTAAAAATTCGAACCCAACGTAGCATTGTTTCCTTGAGACAATTTTGTTCYCATYATCTCCCAGGATAGGACGAATATACGATTCAACGAACTCACAGTATTTAAGTACTYGTACAGAGGAAAAGATAGAATTTTGAGGGATGATTTTTCTGTTTTTCAAAATTGAGAAGAACCACGTATTTATAGACTATTTATGGCCATTCAAATAGTCATATATTTTCATATAAAGTTACGTTTTTTGATAAAAGGACATCAACTTTACAAAATACTCACCAGTTCATRAAAAGTTGAGATTCTTCACCTTTAACAAAAATAATTTTATTCAAAAATTCTAACAGTATTGATATATCAATGATATATCAACATTGAAACCAAGTATATCAATGATATATAAAATAGATCTATGAATGATATTTCAGCATACATGTATATTAATAATTAAATAAGATATATCAAAGGCTCAATGTTATGTTAATGATATATTAACACACATATATCAATAATTAAATAAAGAAAAAAATATTTGTCATATTTGTAAATATTTGGGTTTATACAAAATTCCTGAAATCTTATTTTTAGTTTTTTAGTTTACCTTTCCAAATTTTTAGATATATAAGCATTCATATAAGGTATATGGTAAGTACATTAGTTATAACTGTTGGGTCTGAATGTTATTTGAGGGTAAATTGGACTTTTTCAATATTATGTAGGGGCTCAACCTACGAATTTTGCTATCTTTACAAAATTGAAACGTGGTTGCTAGTTTTGCAAGTGCCCTATTTTGAAGGGAAGATGGTAAGATTTAAGACGATATTATTTGATTAATCACTTATCACATAACTTTACAAATTCTAATACTCGAATTTCCCACTCTTTATTAATCCCCTGAGTTTAAGTTTTTGCTGGGTACGGTTTGTGGATTAAACTCAAAATAAAAACGTAAATAGGACCATAAGCAGTTGGAAGTGGTGAAAATAGAGAAGGAAGAGTATGAATGGTGAGGAGAAAATGCACTGCTACAAGAATGATGTACATAGCTGGAAAAGGGGAAACGAGCTAGAGAAGTTACTACAATACAACAAAAGGGTAGCAGCAAAAATTTTGGAGGTTTTGTCTAATAAAATCTAGTAAAAAAGGGGGGGACTTTTCACAAATTTATGTATTATTTCCACTCCATTTGAGATGCACTTGTACTTGTGTATTAGAATGTTACATCCCAAACTTTGATAAATAAAAGATTACACAACCGAGTATGTATGTTAAGAAGAAGAAGAAGAAAGAAAGAAAAAAAAAAGTAACTTTTATCAATT